TGGAAGTTGAACACACTGGAATTTCGCTGGAGCAATATTGCATTGTGTCAGTTTCCACATCAATGTCGGATTCCGGAATATTCTCGGATGAAGAATCCGCCGGTTGGACGCCCATACTTGACATCCGCTCAGGTCGAGCCAGTGCTACGATCGAGGCCGCAGTATTTGGATCCATGACTGTATCCCACTGCTGCCCGTTAGCAAAAGCACTTTCCTCTTCGAAGGGGCAGAATGTGAATACCGGCGTAACCAATGTCTCACGGTCATGAAGTGCAGTCGAAGGTTGAGCCTATAGACACGGCGCATGTTCAAAATAAAGGTAAACATTATGGCTGCAGCATTTTTGATTTTACTGGCGGATACCTGAACATTATTAGCTGTGGAGTCTGTGTCGCGGTTACACGTACAAGTGTAGTCACAATTGGAGCAACGGTCTTACTCTTGACTATGTTTCCTGGCTAGATCTTCAGACTGCACTATCTGCCAGCAAGCCGATCTGCGGCTTACATTAGCATTGTTCTTGCCGCCATCATCCTTATATGGCGGTGATTGAACAACCCGATCTTCTTCCGCATTGTCCAGTCCCGAAGCGGGTCCACCGCGCCTGTCGCGCAGCATAACGGACGCACATCCGGCGCGTTCCCTCCATCGCCGGCATTTATCAGTGACTGCATCTTTGACTAGCTCATCTTATGCTGTTTACCTATCGTATTTTCTGGCACTTCTGTTGCATGCAGTTTACGGGTACCCTCTGGTGCCTGTCCGTAATTTCGTCGAGAACGGTCAAGCAAACTTTTCCCATTCTGCAGCAGCAACATTTTCACCGAAGTTCGCGACATGCCGAACTTTTTAGCGATATGCCTACCACTGTGACCTTCTTCAAAGCAGTTCAGTATCTCTTCTTTCTGTTTTTGATTAACAGGAAGTCTATCCCGTGCGGTAAAACTGAATCCAGCTTGTTGAATCACAGCGCCGACGACATTAGCTGCTACACTAGCCTCACGTTGAATGTCCGCTCTTGAGTAACCGCGATGGAACAATTGCAGGTTGTTTTCTTTTGCTCTTCAGTAAGGCCGATCATTCGTTGCATTTGATTCACGGTCGTCACGGCAGCGTTAAACTGCCGCGCAGTTTGAGCGATACTGCATTTTCCGCCAAGTAATAGCTGTATAATTTCTTTTTTCTGCTTTTCAGTTTGCTTCGGTGGAAAGGTTACTTTATTCTTTTGGAGAATATGATGCACTGTATAAAAACCAATGCCCAGACGTTCCGCGATTTGCAGCTTGGTGGTGCCAGCCTTGCGTAGGTCGCAGATGAGTCGGCTTTTTCCCGGATCCATTTCTTTGTTGTTTGCCGACATTGTATTAAAACGGGCGCCCTGTTACAAGAAACGTTTTAATAACAAAGACTTTAGACTCCGCTTAACACTCGTTCTATTTTTAATTCGTTTGAGCCGAAAGGCACAGAGAATCGCTTAAACACGCATATCTGGAATTTTGCATGGACGAATTCATTCAGGCTGCACTGAATTAGTGGGGACATCCCGTTCCTACCTATTGTTACGTCAAAAAAAGCCCAAACTGAAAGTATTTTTAGAAGAGATTCACGAATCTCCGGCCCTTGAAGCAAATTCTACCGCCCGGTGTGGCAGCGTAATGCGATTCTTGTCTCGAAATTTCGGAAAATTTTCTGTAGCTTTTCATGTTACTTCTCCAAAATGGCCAAAAGAGCTGGTTTTCGGGCTACCTCGGCGGAATCGACTTAATGTCGAATGGGTACTCAATAAATAATTTGGAAGTGATACAATAATCCCAGTGCACAGACGCACAAACAACATAGTTTAAAACATTTGCGACATTATCACTTACAATCGGAAATTATACGTCGTAGGGATATTCCATTAGAAATTTGGCCGTTACTTCGATCTTTGTTATCAGGTGCTTTGAGCAATTGCAGAAATCAAAACAATGCTTTCAATGTTTACCATCTAAAATTGTGTGCTTCGCACGTAGGTCGGATCACTCGGATTTGAATAACTTCGAATGTACAAAGTAGATATCCGGTGGTTGGATACGGATCGGAATCGGAACGCAAAAAAATATACGACTGATTCGGGTTTCTTGAAAATTTATTGGATTGGTTTAGACATCAGATTAAATCCTGTTCTCGTTTCGGCCGGATATAGTCTCTATAGATACGAGCTCAAAAGGCATAACCGGAATCACAGATAACTGAATGGATTCGGTATAAGCTTGGCCGTAATACAGCGATTCCAGCTAAATAGTCTGCCCTGTATTTCTGTGCCTTTCTTCTATTCACCTTGGCTGCAGTCTACCATCACTTACCAGCCTTTCTTTTTTATCATGTGGCTGCTGCCACCGCTCACGACTGAACACAACCCGGAAGTATCCACGTTTGGGAGATACTGCCAAAAACCAAACACAAAGCAACTGACAAGAAACGGATTCTGCAGCCAGCGCAGCTGTGCTGCAGATTCTGAAAGCGTGTAAAACGCCAGAAACAGAAGCAGCGAATTATTTTTTATCCTTAATTATTTTTTCCCTGTATTATAGGAAAGAATTAATTAAGCAAACGATATTTACAGCGGCTCTTAGGAACATCCAGCTCTTGGACGAATAGTAGGTGTCATACTGCATTAATGATTCAGTTGTCAGAGCAAATCATTTTATTTAGGAAATCACTATAGCCACCCTCTTTCACCCTTCTCTGTTATTAATTAAATAGAGACACCCTATTCTGGTTTTTTATTGGCACCGGTTTTTGTTTTTTTTTGAAAGTTTTTAATTTATTTAGAACAACCGGTGATATTTTAAGAATTTTGATTCCACGCCAGTTCGTGAATTTTACTGTTGTTTTTCACCCAAAAACGGGTCTGTTCGACCGCAGATGAAACTGACAGTGACCGTATACCAACAACTTGCTCGGCCGTCATTCTTATATCGACTTTCTGCTGTATTTAACGTGATATTCGTGACCTTTACCGCGTCGGAAGCAATCTGCTTAAGACATGATCTAACATTTCTTCCTTTCTCCGTCCACTTTCGATAATTTCCGCTTTGTTTGCAATGTTTTCGACGTCGGTAACAGTGATCGCCTAACCAGTATATATCTGTGGCCATTAATTTTGACGTTGTATGGCTTTTAAAGGCTTTAGAGATTTTTGTAGGTGCCGTATCTAACGAGTACAGTACTCGGGCAAGCTTTGTGTCGTCGTGTAAATACTTTGCGCGGAAATCCGCTTACTCAGGGGGTGCCTATAAAAGACAGGGTGCCTAAAAAAGAAATTAATTAATTAAAAAAGCGTGCCTATAATTAACGGGGTGCGGAAAAGGGGTGGCTGTAAAAAAGGGGGGTGTTTGGGGTGGCTATAATATTTATGTATTCAGCCATCGAAAATCCACCGAACGCAGCGTTACTGGTTTATTCTCAAAAGTCACAACCATGTACTTACTGTATACGAGTATTCAGTATATGAACTTCCAAACACCACGAAACATCATTTAGCCATTCAACACTAAAAAATTACAATTATTTTGGTGTGTGTTTGGCTCATGTTCGCTATGTAATAGTTTATATACTTTGTGAACATAATGGCTTGCGGACCATAATAAGCACCTGCGCTAGAAGCACCGACGGCGGTATTCGCCGGCGGTTCCTTTTCGCTAACGCATGTAGCCGGCAGGAAGGTAGACGGGTGGTTAGTACATCCTCAAAGCAGGTCATCCAACTTTCTGGCGAAGGCTATCAACCCTCCTGCAAAGGTCATCCACCTCTCTGGTGTCAAAGTTCATCCAGTTTTCTGCCGGTGGCATCTACTGATCTGACTATTGTCACTGTGCGCATCAGACATTCTCCTCGTCTCAAAAATTATTGCCTTCTATACTTCTACAGTCATTCGCCTTGTATGTTAGAGAATTTTAGATTTCACAAAATAAGTTCCGTACTGATCAACTATCGGGTAAAAGCTAGCGACGCTAACTTTTACCGCCTACCGCCTATCTCGGCACTTTCGATTCGATTTATTTTTCAGGTGTACGCCACTGCAAGTGTGCATCCGTACACTGCTAACGTACTGTTTATGCGACCCCGTAGGTTTTAGTGTACGAATCATAAACCAGGTGAAATCTAATATTCCCTTTAGGTAATGTTAGTGTAATCTAATATTCCCTGTTCCCTGAAGCAGCGATGCTACTAACTTACTGATACCGACAGTACAATGCGTACAATGGTGCACGTACTTCCATCAAAGGATACCGCCACCGCTTCGGCAAACGCAGGATGTATGTGAAAATAGTGAGAGTACAAAATTAATAGTAATGTTGGAAACTACTTACAAGGATGCCGCTACTCCCCTTCAGAAGCGCAGCCAGCTGCTGTCGAAGTGCGCATTTTGTTGGTGTTAGCCTCATCGCTGCTTCAGTAAAACGTCATCGCTACTTTACATAGAAGTGCAGAACGATTATGACTGTTAACAAGGAATTAACCGTTCAGACGGGCGAGATGGTTGATGTGTTTGATGAACAACAATGCAAAAAATGGTGTTGCGGACGGATCAACAGATGTCGCCGGCAGAAAGTTTGATGACTTCGCAGAAAGTTGGATTACCTTCGACAGAAAGATGGATGACCTTCGGGAGAAAGGTGGGTGACCTTCATTGAGATTCAACCATCTTACCCGGTAAGTCCACCTTCCTGCCATAAAGCCAATGAACTGAAATATGTAATTCGTACGATTCAATTTTAATTTTGTTAAAACAAAAAAAGATAACACAAAAAGCTTCCAGGAGTAAGTAGCGTAAGTGAATTTAATTTGTTGGAAAATCGTTGATATAAAAATGAAAACCGTGTCTGTGACTGTGATTAAGATTTTTAAAACACTCGCGCAGTACAGTGCTTACTTCCGCTTGTAAATGCCGAACGTTCATTATCTGACAAATTACACATAATTTATCAACATCATCGAGAAAAAGCAAGCATTATAAAAGCTAGCAACTGCATAAGTAGATAGAATGCTTCTTCGCAAAACCATGCACGCAGCATTCTAATCCTCTGCAATTGAGTGAACAGTGCCACTGCTCAGACCATTCCGGGACTGATGCGCAATAATATGCTGGCCAATTTTCATGGGTTGCCGGCTTCTAAATGAGCACCCGGTGCAACGCAGAAATACATTCTTAGCTAGTAGAAAACGATGCTCCTTCGCTGCCAAATGCGACAAAAACCGATCTTCGTCATCCGAATATACGCGGCATAGATGGCATTGATATTTCGCAGTGATGATCTTGGTTTCGATATTCGTCAGTAAATACGACTGTGCAGCGGCGCTGTCTCTGCCACCTTTCGGGAAACTGGCAGCTGTATGTGCTGACTCATCCGGTTCTGTGCTTGGGGCAGACGCAGTGTCTTCCGGGACTTCAGGCACCACAAAGTCACCTTCTCGCGCGCTGTTCCCTCGATAATGTTGCATACCAAAGTAATCATCGAAAGAACGCCAGTGATTTCTCGAAAACGTTGGAGCACGAATTCCTGTAAAAAACATCATTCGTTATCTGGAGTTTACAATCATAAAAAAGAACTTCTGACCAATCGGATTACTTAAATAAAAGGTTAGTCTGGACCAACCTCTTCAATTGCCCAATGCAATTTTTTACCTGATTTTTACATGTTTTAAACTTAAAAGAGCGCATTCACTAAAACTTCCCGCTTTCTTTACATTTCTGCGGTCCGCCCGTACGGCATTCCTCAATGTGCTGATCCACCCCCGTTTCTGCCAATCCATTCTCGGAAGGCGAAGAACAGATGTTTGCATTAGAGACACAACCTTTGGTACTGGGTGATGGACTTCTGCTTTTCTGTTTACTTCCCGACCTGGGTGAAGTCTCGTTTTCTGATACTACATCGAGTTGGTTGCGTTCCTGACTTGGTATCCGCTCCGGTGGAGGCGTTACTTGACACTGTGCCGCAGTGCTTCGATCTACAAGTGCATCCGACTGCTGGGCATCAACAGCATCATCGGCTTCGCTCTGGCATTGCGCGTTAACCGGTGCATCGCATGTGTCAAGGTCACATAACCCAGCCGGATGTGGAGTCTGAAAAATATTAAGTGCCTTTCAGAGCCAGTTACCGGTACTGTAAAAGTAAAACTGCCGTAAAATTTTGCAAAAAATGTTGAAGCATCGTGCGAGCAAAAAAAAAACAGTTGTTTCTCAGTGGATTTCATCTTAATTATTGTCTCAAATTCGCACTTATGAAGGTCACAATCACAGTAGAATTACTTACACTCAGCTGACTAAACGGAGGCGTTTCTATGTGGCTGCTTTCCCGTTCTTCGGCATCTCCACAACCACTCTTTAGCGGCATAGCGTCAGGCAGCAAGCATGCATTGATGTGCTGCTTCACCGCTTCATAAGAGCATCCATGTTCGCGCAGTTCCCGAATGATGGATCGTAAGTCATGGTACTGGTTGTAGCCTTGGTCCGTCATTATGTCGTGCGCCTCCACGATCGGATGGTTCGGCATAGCGGTGAGTGGATTAGGGGTCGGTACAGTGGGCGGATTACTGAAAGTTTCGCTACTTTGATTTTCTGAACGGACGCTAAGGACATCTTTTTCAGGCGACAGCGGCTGCTGATTTTCCAATAGTGTCATACGTAGTAGACTGTGTGCAGCAGCGACATCGTACTCGGCTGCGGGGCCAGCTGAACATCCCTCTGTAGAAGTCAAGCCGCGTTGGTGTCCCACGCGTAGGGTTACTAAATCTGGCTCGGAAAAACCAGTGCAACATGACATGGATGCAGGATAATCCAGGGACACCGAGCCGTTGCGGCCGATTTCCTGCCTGTTTTCTTTCACCCGTTGCATAGTATGCGGCTTTTCAATGGCTAGAAGTACAAAAGATTAAACAGTGAAAAATGAAACTTGGCTCGCAAAGCCTACCTAATTGCCAATATTTTCAAGCAACATTTTATATCAGTAGGCATTTAGCATAACTGTGTCGTGTTTTAGAGACGGCAACAAACTGAAAATCGCCATACACAGCCGGTATATACGACATTTCACGAGAGTGTCCATTGGTGTAATGCGCAGGCGTCCAGCCGTTACTGATGAAATCCGATTTGTTTAGAGCGATTTCCACTGATTTGCTCCAGCAGCAGATTATTGACATAAACATTAAAATGCATACCGTTCTGCCTATCCATATTGTGCAGCTCTTTGCTCTCTTGAAGTTGGGACGTTTCGGCAGTTACATTGCGACAGACTGACAGGGATAAATTCGATGAGGCATTTCGGCTGCATTTTGCCATAGAATTTTCGAAGTATGCAACTGTAACTGCGCGTCCGCGTTTGGCTGATGGAGAGCGCTGACCATTGGTGGCCCGCGGTGGCTGAGAGGGAGAACTGGTGGAAGTTGTTAGGGTATCACACTTTGGATCCCGTGTACCGGACACGAGAATACTGCGGACACGCTCCGTCGTTAGGCCCGCTGCCTTAACCATATCGGTCATGCGATACTTCCCGCCAAAAAAATCATCAAAAAAATCGCCAAAAAAATCATCAAAAAAAAATCATCAAAAAACAATCATCAAAAAAAAATCATCAAAAAAATCATCAAAAAATTCGCCAAAAAAATCATCAAAGGACTGCTGTTGCGGTTCGCCATAACACCCCGTTTCTGAAATGTTGTGGCTGTTACTTCTGGAACGTACAGTCGGGTATTCAAGTTGTATGAAATGGTCGTTTTTCACCATATGCGCTGTCATTTAAGTAGGAAATCCTGTGCAGTATGTTATTCCAGAAGTTCCGATTTTTAAGGTTTCGGAGACTTCTAGTAGGTGTTCTTATAAGTCTCTCATCAGCTCGAGCTACAAATAGAGAACGCGCTGATCTTGTTGAAGGGAAATGGCCCGGTACATAGTGTCAGAAGAAACGGGTACATACACTAAAACTTTCGTTAGCGCACTCCGAATCGCTTTTTAGTAGTACTTTACATCATTCTAAAGGTAAATTATTTGTATACATGGTTCTGAAAATCGTTTGCGCGCAGTTATTCGGAGTGCGCGAAAACGAAAGCTTTAGAGTATGTACCCATTTTTGACACAATGTACCGGGCCTTTTTTCTTAATAAAAATCTATGGATTTTTGTGTATTTAGCGCTTTGACACTGATTTGGAATTCTTGTTGCTAGAAAGTGTCACGATGACTCACATACATGAGGCCGCCACGTGCCCGTCAAGGTCGAACGCCAAGGATAATGCAGTCATGACTGCGTCATAATTACGCATTGTTACATCATAACGACATCATAGGGATGAGTCACGATCACACCCCAACCAGTCCCGATCCATTTTTTTGAATATAAAGAGCCCATCAAAGGCATTCAATTAAGTCCAGTATTAGTCGAGTATTGTTCTGTCTAGTGATCACTCATAATAGTGTATTGTAGTGGGCAATGGTCAATGGTCATTAAAGGTCATTAAGGAAGTTGTTGTTTGGTTCGTTTGTAATCACATAGGTACTGGTCATCGTTGACCTTTACATAGGGCTCATCAGACACAACACACTGTAGCTCACACAGAGGTAAAAGAACTCGTCACACAATGTTGTGACAGAAACTCCTCTGTAAGTAAACCTTTAGGTTTATTTCACAGTTTAAAATTTGGATAACTGGTTTTTAAAATGCAAAAACTAATCGCAATACGAGAAAATTCGCACGTGGTACGGCAATAATTTCTGGTATGCGATTATGTCGTTGCAAATGAATAAAGTAAAGAGCAATTCTTTAACCGACATACCTGCTAGACTTCTTGTAGCTGTGCCTTCTTCGCAGTGGGAGTTTGTAGAGGTGTGGCAGCAACCAAAGCAATTCCCGTGCCCCCGTTCGCAGCCGAAAAAATTACGTCTGACTGCCATTAGTCGCCCTGACTTTCCGCGTTCTGCAACGGTATCATGACGATCACCCTCAATAATTCCCAGTTGCTGAGCAGTGTGACGTTCAATGAGAACATTCCATTCCATCCCGCAGAACTCGGCTGAGTCTGCATTATGCGGACGATGCTCATTAGGAGTGGTCGGTTCTCGGACGACATCGTGCACTAAACCACTTTCATTTGCAGCGTCCATTTTTGGCAGCTTTTGATGTCATTGACAGAGCATGGAAGTGCGCGAGTATGAAAATGCGCGTCGGTTTCCATGACCACGGGTACCGTTTCGTGGGCGTTATACGCAGATAAAAGAATGTGCGTCTTAGTTCTTTCGGGGTCGTCGCGGTTTTCGAACTCATGCACTGGGGTGTTACTATCGTCTTCGCCATCTTGTAGCTCTTGTGTGTTCAGATTTTGCTTGGCAATTTTCGATTCCACACGGGGATGTTCGGCAGTCTCCGCGGTGCTCAGCGCACGCTCCTCTGGCATGGTCGATGCTTGACCGACATTTTCCAGTGTTTGTGTTACAGGTCTCTTGTTCAGCATACTCGTCGGTTGTTTCTCTATGGTACTTCCGGAGCCTCCTACTGCATTAAATGCCGGTATAGCAATTCGCTTCTTTTGGCAGCTCTGTCGGTAGCGTTCCGTGGCGGATTTTCCCTTCTGTTGCAGTAATGTGTCAGGGGTAATTCTCGACTGTCCGAACTTGCTAAAAGTATACATCTGACTACGGCCTTCTTCGAAGCAGTCAGGTATTTGTTGCTTCTGCCTTCGGCTGACAGGAATACCATCCCGTGCGGCAAAACTGTGTCCTGCTCGGTGGAGAATATCGTCTACGGTGTGATTATCCACAGTAACTGCCCGCATAATATCGGCCTTTGGGTTACCGCTATCGAACTGTTGGAGGATGCTTTTGCTTTGCTCTTCCGAAATGCTTGCTATTTGAAGGATCTGCTTCACAGTGGCAACGCTAATGTCGAACTGCTTCGCGATTTTTTCGGTACTGGACGCCTCTTGCCGTGCTAGCTGTATGATCTCTTCTTTCTGCTTGTCACTCAGCACTGTTCGTCGTCGTCGTCGCCGTGCTAAATTTTCCCTTTTGAAAGCCTTTTGCACAGCAGACAAAGTGATTCCCACGCGTTTCGCAATTTCAGGTTGTGTGCAGCCCTCATTGTGTAGTTGGCAAATCAACCGTCTCTGACTATCATCCATTTCTGTTTCTATTGACCACTGTATCCGGACCAGTCCCGCGGTGATTAGATGGCCTACAGGACCATACTGGTTCATACAGCCACCAGCGTGCTAAGCCGTTCTTTGCTACAATAAATATGGACTTTGTTACTCGTATTTCCCAACGATTTACTGACACTTTGTATTAGAGTCTCGTATGAAGTATGTAGTAGAAGTACACAAAAAGCGATAATGTAGCAATAATACCTAATATGGAAGTGATTGCTATGATTTAGAATAAACCACTGGACTCAAAATAGTGTTACTTCATAGTGCGTTCCAATCCAATTGCTACACAGCTGAGGATGTACTAGTGACACTTGAATGCATTCCTTTGTAAAACTGCTCTCTTTTATAATTTTTTTATTATCTTTCATTCAGAAACAGCACTAACTTGGATCACTTGGATTTTTTTTTAAATGAAGTACCTACTTTTGGGCTTGGATTGCGTTCCCTTAAACTTTTTTCTCGTGCTTATTCTTTTGTTTTTCTCAGGTTATTCTTAGGTTTCTTATAATTTTTAAGTGTCTCAGGTTTCTTAGGTTTTCTTAGGTTTCTTGCGTTATTCTTAGGTTATTCTTAGGTTTCTTAAGTTTTCTCAGATTATTTTTAGGTTTCTTGCGTTATCGGAAACGCAGGAAACCTAAGAATAATCTGAGAAAAACAGAAGAATAAGCACGAGAAAACAGCATAAGAAAACGTATTCCAAGCCCCAAAGTAAGTAGTCCAATTTAGGAAATCCAAGTTATCCAAGTTTAGTAATTCACGTTAATAGATTCAGATCCAAGTTTGAGAAATCCGAATCCAAGGTTCAGCGCGGGCCTACGGAGCGTGTTCGAAATCAACTGCAATGAGAATCCCAAAAGTTAAGGCATACCTTTAATAAGTATCATATCCCGGATGCAAATTAAGGTGATCTAAGTAGGTAATCCAAGTAGGTAATCCAGGTTATGTAAATTGTAATCCAATTTATGTGATCCAAGTTAAGGGATCCAAGTTCAATTTGAGTAACCCAAGTCCAAGTTTAAGTACTGTAATCCAAATTCGAATCCGAATCCAATGTTCAGCGCGGGCCCGCTCCGTAGTATAAGCAACAACACACAAAAATCATTACAGTGAAGAGAACCCATAAAAGATCTACAAACAATTTGACAATATACAGTACTTGGTGAAACACACTTATATACAGCATACAGATACAGTAAATATCTGTAGTGCAAGTAATAAAATTTTTCTGCTGCTTAGGCTGCAGGGATACGTATAATCGTATCTCTTAAATCTACTACGAGTAGTTGGTTGTACGAAATTTCTTGGTAAACCACAAAATAAATAACGATTACTCTTTTTACCGAGTGGCTTACTTGGTAAAAAAATTGTTAATCAATATTTTTTTTGGGTTTTATCAAGAAGGTTTTCTCAGTCAATATCCTGTCTTATCAACACTCCAGAGCAAGATCGATGCAAACTAGCGAAAAACAGCGAACCGTTTCTTGCACTTGGTGCCATCAGGTTTCAAACCTCTTAAATTTTACTTAATTTTTGTTCGAAATGGAAACGGCGATTAGTAGTGCGTTAAATACAGTTCCGAAAGGTAAATAATACTTTGTAAATAAAACAATTTCGAAACAAAGTTACGCATAACTTTGAACGCCACCGAGTAAGTTGCGGGTTCAATGTAGGTAAGTTACTCAGGAATATCATGCATCAGATCCGCCTCATTGTCACAAGTTCATCGTTTATATGAATTAAGTAGCACAAGAATCGTAGAGCTAGCACCCGACAGCCGACAGACAGACACAATTACTGTCTACTGACAGCCACAGGTAAAAGTCACTAAAAACTTCTTTAAAATTGATCACTTGCCATCTGTAATTAAGCGAGATATGAATATGCCATATTCATTTGTTCCACGTGTATCCCACTAGACGGCCGATGTGCTTATTTATTCCAATATGTTTGCGACCATGAAAATCCCGACAGCATTAAGAAATCGATGTGCAGTAATACCCGTAGGTATTTTTTCAAGTAATGTGTTGAACAACCACGGAATTCGTACTGCAAATTTATAATACAACAGACTGGGAAGCCAGTCTAAAATTAACATCGGGCCGCGGGGCCATCAGGCGAGCCAAGGGTATGTGCTTTCTATACTTATGAAATAAGCTGCTTGCGCCTTAAAATAATGTGCGAAAAGTTGCAGTACATCTTTCAGTTAACTGAAAAATATCATTCCGAATAACGACCGATAAACAACGTTGTTTATCGGTGGTTATTCGGAATGATATTTTTCAAATTATAGTGCACGTAAGTTTGCCAAAACCCCGTGAAAAGTGTTAATTTTAGAACTGCAAGTTTTTTTAGAACAGCGTGATTTCATAGTGCAGGCAAAGCCTGGCATGGCTGGCGTACGTTCAGGATAAAATTAGAATTCATGTTATCTCGCTTGAACCATGTTATGTAAACTATACAAGCATAACTAAATTTTTTGGCATACTGTAGATTTGACATTTTTGGCAACAACGATGGTTATTACTTATAAAATTTAACCCCTATGTTAAGGTGCAACGCAGAACGAGAATCGCAAAAATGAATGTGAACTCCTATGGGAAAGGCCCGCGCTCAAGCTCTGACTCTGACT